CACAGCCTGTGAGTGGAGCCCTGCTCTCTGACCTGCCAATCTTGGGTTCACCAGCCCATGCAGCTATGTGAATCAGGAGAAACCTTGCGGTCTTGCCTGCTGATCTTGGAATTCGCTGACCTTTACAGCCTATGAGCAGGAGCCCTGCTCTCCATCCTGCTGATCTTGGGCTAGCCAGCTTCTGTGGCTGTGTGAATTGGGACAGGCCTCTACCCTGATCCATGGACATGGGACATTCTAGCCTCTACAATTGCATGAGCTGTTCCCTTGATATAAATCTCTCTATATACACATTTATATGCTTTACTGGTTTTGCTTCTCTACAGAACCCAGCCCAAAACAATATCCTTGTGTATTTTATTTCATTAAGCATTAGGTTTTCAAGGTTCACCAATGTTGTAGTATCTATCAGGACTTTGTTTCTCTTTATGGCTGAATAATATTCCATTGTTGTGTATTTCATTGGCCTTTATGTCTGTTCTTACATCAGCACCACACTGTTTTGGTTCCTGTAGCTTTATATTCTGTTTTGAAAACAGGAAATGAGCCCTCTCTATTTTTTTCTTCTTTTTCAAGATCGCTTTCACTATCCAGGGCCCCTTGCAATTCCATACAAATTTGAGGATTGGATGTCCCTCTTTTTTATCCTCAGTTCCTCTATGTCACCTGGCTGTACGTGCACTCCAGTTTGTCAGTGACCTTGATGTATGTCATCTGAAGCTGATCCTCTGACCCAACTCCCTCCCCCTGCCGCCATACACTGGAGTACCACAGTATATAGAGTAGAACTATCACCTTGTTTTGAAAAGTGCATTTTTATTAATACCAGCTCCAACTGCATTAAACTTTCTACTAGCTTCATCATGATTTACAGTCAACTAAAACACCATTTAAAAAAAATGTTTAAGTATCAAAATATTTGTGAAAATTTAAAGGCACTCTCAGGCATTTTCTTGGAATATGGAAAACAATGACCCAGTTTCATTTTCATGCTGTTTACTTCAAAAATTATCACTTTCTAAAATTCAACAATTTTGTATCAAAATTCAAACCTGTCCTTCTTTTATAACCCCTCTAGGGAATCGATCTTGAGGAAATAATCTACAAAGTTGCATTTTTAAAAAGTAAAATGCAGCATTATTTATACAAATTAAAAAATTGGAAATAATAAAAGTACCCAAATATAGGGTAATGGCTAAATCAATACTGGTACATCTACTATTAAGTAGCCATCAAAAATGGTTATTAAATGCATCCCATATTTTAATTAAGAGGAGTAATATGGGAAAATGCTTATGAAATAAGTAGGGGAAAAGCAGGATACAACATCTTACCTGCAGTATGATTACAACTGTAGAAGGACAAAGACTAGAACATTAACATTAATTTAGTCTGGGTGGTGGGTTGTGATAATTTCCCCCAAATTTTAATGAATGCATAACTTACAATTAAAATTTATTAACTTGTAACAAGATATAAAACTGACTTTCCCATTTCCTCTGATTCTACTTGTATGCACACTAGACAAGATTAAAACACTTTTTGTTTCACAAACGAAACAAAAAGAGAGAGGTTTTCCTATGTAACTGCAAAAGAGTTGGGAAGAATCTGTAAAAGCCAAACAAGTCCACTCACATTTCCATGAATTCTTTTGACTAGCATAGGGGAAAAAGCATAAAGAGAAGTATATGTGTATGAGAAAAACAATGCCCAAAATGGAAACTCATAAATTCTAAGTGGCAAAAAAGGCAGAGAATTAAAGATAGGGGATAAGAGCTGTAATAAATTCCCCAGAAGTAAAACAACACGTACTTGTATATGCACTTATATACGCACTTGTACGCGTATGATTTTCACATTTTTTCTCAGTAATGGTACCAAAAAGTTAGCTCAGGATAATTTTTCTGAATTATGATTAAGACATGAAATTCTGATTTATTTAAGTAAAATTCTGTGGAGTCTATCAATAATTTCATAAGCTTTTAGATATGAGAGCTAGAAAGGAGTTTGTAATAACTAAATCAGGTTTTAAAATAATCCATCTGATAGAAAGCATTAAGGCAAGAAATTTATTTATAGTTATACTCTAGCCATTTCTGGAAAATGGAAAACAATAAATCTAAAGTTCATTCCAATGGAGAATGACGAATATGTGAGGCATGGTAATTTATGCAATTAAGTATGTTTTTTAAAATTAAGCTAATTATATCCACCATTCTATGGTGCTTTAATGAAAAGGAATATGAATAAAAAGTGTTTATTACAGTGCCTGGCAGTTGTGAAATGGCAGCTCTTATCGACAGTAATAAACTGCAAAATTTTAACTGCTGCATCTGGTTTACATGCTTATATTGTTATATTGTGATAGTTATGTCATCTGAAGCTGATCCTCTGACCCAACCCCCTCCCCTCACACACACTGGAGTACCACAGCATGTAGAGTAGGACTATCACCTTCCTTGTTTTGAAAAGCATTTTTATTAATAAGCCTAATCAACTTGGCTAGGGCATGATTCCCAGAGGTTAGGCAGATAATATGTAATCACTCTCCTATTTGTGATCTGATGTGAGTAGCCAATCAATTAAAAGGGTAGTTTCCTTGGAGGTGTGGTCTGTATCCAATATATATGGACGTTCTGGCAAAGCTTGCTGTCTCTAGTTCTGCATCCGACTAATCATCTTCTGACATCTGGTTCTTGGGACATGAGCCAGTACCGTCTGACCTATCAATTTTAGGTTCGTCAGCCCCTGCCCACCTGAGTCAGAAGATGCCTCCAGCCTGACGCCTGACCCACAGATTTGGGACTTGCTAGCCTCCACAACTGTATGAGCAATTTCCTTCAAATAAGTCTCTCTATACACAGATTTACTTATATATGCTTCAATGGTTTTGCTCCTCTTGAGAACCCAGCCTAAGACATATACTATGATAGTAATTTTACAGACATGTAAAAACTACTTATAGGACTAAAGAATCCGCCAAAGATTCCCTCTCTTGATAAAAATATGCAGGATAAATACAGAGACATATGTACTTTTTTAGATGTACATAAGGTCATAGAGAGACTTTTTGCTCTCATTTTATAGATGAGGAAACTGAAGCCCAAAAAGGGTTAGGTTGCCCAAAATGCTATCTCTAGTTGATAGCAGAAACTAATTTACAAGAGACACCTGACTTTGAAGTTTAGTTCTAATTAATTAAGAATTCAAATTATAATATTAACAAGAACTTAGAAAGCAAATAGAAGATAACTTCTTATACTGTTAAAACTTATCAGATTAAGCTTCAGAAAGAAATCTACCGGCTCTATTGATACTTCTCTGTTGAGCTTCATGATGCTGGACATTCATGATCAAATAAATATGATTTAGGATAAGAAAAACCTCATGGGTTGGGCAGTAAAACAATAATTCTTCAAACAGATCTTCCTTTGATAGACATGATCATAAAAAATTGGAAGCTGAAGTTGCCAGTGGCTCAAAAGGGCTTAGAGAACTTATAAAGATGCCTGAAAGAGAGAGAAGGAGGGAGGTATAGGGAGGAAGGAAATAATTATTGTTAATGCATGATGCAGTATACCTTGAAGTGGGAAATGATGGAAAAAGTCTGGGAGGAACCAAAACAGGAGAAAATGGCCAAGGCAGAAATAAACACAATCTATAAATAGATGAATGAAAAAGGCTTACGTGCACACATGCACATGGGCAAAAAACAAGATTGAAATAGTCTGGCAGTTCCTTAAAAAGTTAAACATAGAATTACCATTTGACCCAACAATTTCACTCCTAAGTATATATCCAAGAGAAATGAAAACATACATTCACACAAAAACTTGTATATGAATGTTCATAGTAACACTATTCGTAATAGCCAAAAGGTGGAAACTCAAATATTCATCCATCAATGAATGGATAAATAAAATGTGGTATAGCCATACAATGGAATATTATTCAGCCATAAAAGGAATGAAGTACTGATACATGCTATAACACTGATGAATCCTGAAATGATTATGTTAGGTGTAAGAAGCCAGTCACAAAAGACCACATATTCTATGATTCCATTCATGTAAAATGTCTAAAATAGGAGAATCTATAGAGACAGAAATTCGATTAGTAGTAGCCTAGGGCTGGGGAAATGGTGGAATTGTGAGGTGATAGCTAAAGGGTACAGAGTTTCTTTTTAGTGTGATGAAAATATTCTAAAATATTTGATTGTGGTAATGGTTGAACAACTTTGTGAATATAATAAAAACCATTGATTTGTACACTTTAAATGGGTGAATTGTATGGTATGCGAATTATACCTCAATGAAGCTGTTAAACAAACCAGAAGAATAACTTTGGAAAAATAAGTCTGAAATGAAAAAAAAAAAAACACTGTAGAAATAAAAACCAGAGAGAAAGCACCTAACTGAGGTAGCTGAAGGAGTGATTAAGGAAGAAAGGCAAGGGCAAGTGAGTTGCCTATAGGCAAAGGTATGAGAGAAAATAATAAACTACATGGCTAAATAATTACATACTTGGGAGTGGTCAGAAAAGTGATGTGCTTTTGATAATATAGTCTGTGTAATATTGTTTGGCAAAACTTGGTGTTTAAAATTTGCTAAGCGATGTGGCAAACACTCATTTTATCAATTGTCTATTTAACATGGTAAAATTCCCATTGCATGAGAGACTGGCAGAACTATAATTATGTCTAATTCATTTTTGTATGCCCTGCATCAATTAGCTTGATGCCTTATACACAGGAGGCTCTCAATAAATATTTGATGAACAAAACTAACCATCATAGCCAGAACTTGAGGCTCTGTAATTACAAAACATAACTGAGGCCAAATTTTAGTCATTTATAAAAACCAGAACATTATACCACAGTTGAAACATTTTAATGGACCTTTAAATGACTTTTAATTCAATTAACAACTAAAATATACACAAGCATAATTTAACAATTCAATATGTAAGTAAAAAGATCCATCAGAAAGGTAAGGACAAGCTGGGAAACGATAAAATGTTGTGACTTCTTTTATACTATATAAACACAAAACAGACACTTTTTGTTATCTTGGTAACTTAAAATTTAAATTCTGCTTGTTTTTCAATTAAAAATTTTGCTGACAGATGTTGAATTTTAACCTATGTTTTCCTGACAATATCAATAGACTGTCCAACTACATGATACAATTATATTTCCCCCATTTAAGTTTAGAAACTATGGCTCAGTGTCTAAAAAATAAATTAATTAATAAAAGAGAATCGTTACTAGGAGAAAAATGAAAACAAAATTACCACATGATACAAATAATTACTCCTCAAAATCAATAAGTGGTGTGAGCATTATTTCACTTAGCATACTTGGAAGCACTATATTACCAACATACAAATAAAATAGACTGAAAGCATGGAATGATACAATAGTTATCACTAATTAGGTGCTAGCTAACAATGTAAATAAAAATGAATGGAAGAGAAAATTAAAAAAAACTTGTTTTTAGCTTAATTGTTGGAGCAGAGTATGTGGCAGGGGCTGGCTGCCGGGCAGCTGCTTTAGCCTTGCTAGCTTGGCTTGCTCGCACAGCAGTTTCCAAACGCACTTTCAGCTCAGGAGCAGCCCCCATTACTGTCTTGAAAGCATGTGGATACAGAGGTCCAATATGCATTAAATTCTGGAGTGCAAACTCATGAAGATCTTTGGAAGCTTTTCTTGCTGAGGCAAAAGAAATTTCATCCAGCAGGTACGAGATCAACGTTGGAACTAAAAGAGCAAGTAACTGGACTCCTGTAAATAACAAAAATAATGTATGAAGAACCTGAAAATTACAACAAAATTTAATTTAATTTTTTTACAATGGTAGTCTGAATTATAATAAAATATAAGTAAACATGCACAATCGGAGATCTCAATGATAACTCATGACTAATATTAAATATTTACTAAATGGCCAAGCTATTAGGGCTGGAGACCAGGTTTGTTAGTATTGTGTATTTTACATTTACATTAATTTGTTTTATTAAAAAAATACTACACTACCTGATTTTAGAACCTACTATACTGCCATGATAGTCAAAACAGCCTGGTACTGGTACAACAACAGATACATAGACCAATGGAACAGAATTGAGAATCCAGACAGAAATTCATCCACCTATGAGCAGCTGATATCTGACAAAGGCCCAAAGCCCATTAATTGGGGAAAAGACAGTCTCTTTAACAAATGGTGCTGGCATAACTGGATATCCATCTGCAAAAAACTGAAACAAGACCCATACCTCACATCATGCACAAAAACCAACTCAAAATGGATCAAAGATGTAAATATAAAATCAAAGACGATAAAGATCATGGAACAAAAAAGAGAGACCTAATGCTAGGAGCCCTAATACATGGCATAAACACAATACGAACCATAAGTAACAATGTACAAGCACCAGAAGAGAGACCAGATAAATGGGAGCTCCTAAAAATCACACACTTATGCTCATCAAAAGACTTCACCAGAAGAGTCAAAAGACAACCTACAGACTGGGAAAAAATTTTTGGCTATGACAAATCCAGTCAGCATCTAATCTCTAAAATCTAAAAGATACCATAAAACCTCAACAACAAAAAGACAAATAACCCAATTTAAAAAATGGGCAAAGGATATGAACAGGCACTTCGCCAAAGGAGATTCTCAGGTGGCTAACAGACATGTGAAGAAATGCTAACAATCATTAGCCATTAGAGAACTGCAGATCAAAACTACAATGAGATATCAGCTCACCCCAACAAGGCTAGCATTAATCAAATAAAACACAAAACAATAAATGCTGAAGAGGTTGTGGAGAGACTAGAACACTTATACACTGTTCGTGGAAATGTAAAATGGTACAACCACTTTGGAAATCGATTTGGCACTTCCCTAAAAAGCTAGAAATAGAAGTACCATACGATACAGCAATCCCATTCCTTGGAATATATCCTAGAGAAATAAGAGCCATCACACGAATAGATATATGCGCATCCATGTTCATTGCAGCATTGTTCATGATAACTAAAAGATGGAAACAACCTAGATGCCCATCAACGGACAAACGGATAAACAAATTATGGTATATCCACACAATGGAATACTATGCAACGATAATGGGCAACGATGAAGCCGTGAAACATCTTATAATACGGAGGAAGCCGGAGGTCATTACGCTGAGTGAATTTAGTCAGTCACAGATGGACAAATATTGTATAAGAACACTATTATAAGAACTCAAGAAAAGGTTTAAACACAGAAGAAAACATTCTCTGATGGTTATAAGTGTGAGGAGGGAGGGAGAGTGGTATTCACTAACTAGATAGTAGACAAGAATTATTTTAGGTGATGGGAAGGACAGCACACACTACAGGGGAAGTCACCACAACTGGACTAAACCAAAGCTAAGAAGTTTCCTGAATACAATCAAACACTTTGAGGGACAGAGTAGCAGGAGTAGGGATCTGGGGACTATGCTTTCAGGGGACATCCAGTTCAACCGGCATAACAAAGCTTATTAAGAGAATGTTCTGCATCCTACTTTGGTGAGTGGCGTCTGGGGTCTTAAAAGCTTGCAAACGGCCATCTAAGATGCATCAATTGGTCCCAACCACCTGGAGTAAAGGAGAATGAAGAACACTAAAGACGGAAGGAAAATATTAGGCCAAGAGACAGAAAGGGCCACATAAACCGGAGACTTCATCAGCCTGAGAACAGAAGAACTAGATGGTGCCCGGCTACCACCAATGACGGCCCTGACAG